CCGAGGTGAGCTGCCACTGAGCTACCAAGGATGGCTCAGTTGGTGAGAGCATGTGCTCCTAACAACAAGGTTGCCTGTTCGAGATGGTGGCTATGTCCACCGGCAACTAAAGACTGAATTCGGCACCTTGAGCAGAGCTGCCGCCCAGGTGGCTCAAGGGAAAGAGTGCGCGCTCTTAACAAGGCTGCTGGTTCGACTCCTGCATGGAATGGTGGCTACACCCACCTGCAACTAATTGAACACAGCACTCTGAGCTGAGCGGCGCGACTGGACTTGGAGCTGAGCTTGCTGTGCCCTCCACAACTAAGACTGAAGGACAACTTGGCTATTCTCCAATAAAACTCCCCAAATTCCCCAATAAAACAAAACAAAACAAAACAAAACAAAACAAAACCGTAAAGAAAATCATTTTCTATCTTGTGGGATGGTAGGCCATAAAAGAAATAGAAAAACTAAGAATTTGGTTTTACAACATTCTAGCCTTGTTTGGAAAATGTCAACTAACATGCTGCAGCTTATCTGGATTTCTGGGAATCAGAGTTAACTTTTATTTTATTATTATTATTTTTTTTAGATTTTATTGGGAAATTGGGGGAGGGTAACAGCGTTGGGGAATCGGGGGAGGGGAACAGACAAGTTGCTGTCCTTTTGCTCTTCAGTCTAGTTGTGGAGGACGGCGCTTCACCGGCCCATGTTGGTATTATCATTGCGCTCTTCCTGGGTGAGGCAGTCGCTTGCCGGCCATTGGACAGCCGCTCACGGTGGCTCATGGCAGTTCAGGAAAGCTCATGCTCACTGTTGGCCAGCCTCACTGCAGCCTATGCTGTCGTTGGTGACTCACGGCAGCCCAGCTCCAGGTAGAGCTATTGTTCACCATCTTAGCTGTAGAGGGCGCAGCGTCACTGGCCCTCATGTGGGATCCGAACTGGCGGCCCTGCTGCTCAGAGCTGGCATCCCAAGCCAACTCCTAACCAACGCGCCACTTGGCTGGCCCCCGAGTCAACTTTTAAAGATGCAATTGGACACATCAAGATACTCATAACCTGTAGTCTGGGGAAGGAGAATTGTTTCTGAAAATTATTTGAGAGTGCAAAAAAGGGGTGTGGGGGGAGAAGAAAGACCAGCCTATCTCAATTTCCAAATCACTCATCAGAAACAGAATGATAATTAACTAATTATATCCTCTACTTTTGAGAGCATCATCCTGAACTATGTTATTAATTTGGCCACTTTTGTCTGCTACATATTTAGTAGCTTTTTTCTTATAGATAATTTCAGATTTGGGTTTTAACATCCAACTTAGATTCCTTGACACTGATTTCCAAAGTGTCCCTGGCATATCCTCAGGGCATTTTACTTTACTAGCAGAATCACATAAGCCCTCTGTCTCATGATTTATTGATATCTGAAATAGAACGAATTCCCCATTCACAGGAACTACCCCACATGGATGTCTCTATGTTTGATGTTAGGATTATCTTGAGTACCCTGATCTCCTCCAGCTGCTTGTCTGGCTTTGGACCAGTCCAAGTTGTGGGCAGACAGGCTCTAGGGCAGCGGTTCTCAACCTGTGGGTCGTGACCCCTTTGGGGGTCGAACGACCCTTTCACAGGGGTCGCCGGGTACTCATATGTGGGCATNAGTCTACGCCGTCGCCGGTGACTCACGGCAGCCCAGCTCCAGGTTGAGCTGTTGTTCAGCATCTTAGCTGTAGAGGGCAGTGTCACTGGCCTTCATATGTGGGATCCGAACCGGGGACCTCTGGCGTCCCAAGCCAGTTCTTAACCACTGCGCCATTTGGTCGGCCCTTCTGCTTGCATTTTCATTTCATCCTTGAAGCAATCTCTCTAGGCACATTTTTATCGTCATCTGAGACCCCAAACTCAAATGTGGGCTGTGACCCTGAGTGAATCCCTCCCTCCCAACCTCATTTCCTCATGCAGCTGGCCGAGTTATATAGCCAGGCATGACAGCACATGCTGGTTGTCTTTACTAACACAAACCACAGCAGTAAGGACCACTGTCCTTTACTGATAGCCTGCTGCCTATCGGCACGCCTGAAAAATAACATGCTTTTGGTAAACACAGGTTCTGAACCAACTGCAAAATAGACCGAGGGCCAGAGAGGCCTCCCCTTCAGCTGGACTGAGAAGGCACCAGGGATGCCACTGGAACGAGGCACAGTTTCCTTCTCTCCACGTTTAGACAGCAGTTAAAAGCAAACCTCTACTTATGCTGAGACTCTGGCTCATGGGACCTGCGATATCCTCAGAACTATCCTCCTTCAGAGCATAAAGACATTATGGTGGGCAAAGCCTCATCCTTGATTCATGTGCACTTTGATTCTGTGATGAGTTCTTTTTTAACCAAACACTTTTAGGTTCTTTTCGCTAACAAGGGTCAAGAGTAAGGATGATATTCTCTGCACTGAGAATTAAAATGTCTAAACCAATTATCAAATGGAAAGCAAATCACAGTCACCCTTTTCATCCTTCTTTGCTCATGATACAGAGCATTTGGTAAAACCAACCTATTGTTTGTTTGCTGTAATACAACAAATTCTAATAGAACAAATTCAATTGAAGAAATGACTTGGTAAGACCATTTGATAAATATCTTTTTACAATGTGAGTCTTGAAAAGATGAAAAATATACAAGTTCAAAATGCCAACTGGCACCCATTTTTGGAAAATCAATTGTTATAGGAGCTACTGGTGAATTGTTCTTTAGAAAGCCATACTCAGTCTCATAATCTTCTGCTACGTGTATTTTTCCATTAAATCTTACTGCCAATGCCCAAGGTTAGATCAGGTCTCCCTATCAGTGACTCTCTCGGCTCCCTAGACTTCTCCTTCCAGCACTTATCACACCTGTAACTAAATGATGATGGATACGATTTGTTTAGTGTATGTCTCCCATACAACCGTAAGATCCCTGAGAGCAGGGATCATAACTTGTTCTTCATTCATCCCCACAGCCTAGCTTAGTGCCTAGCACATAGAAGTGCTCAGTATTTGTGGATTGATAAATGTTATTCTTGCCCTGTGACCTTCTTCTAGAATAGACGTTGGCAAACTTTTTCTATAAAGGGCCAGAAGGTAAATATTTTAGGCTTCAAAGACCACATTGGCTGTACCTGCTCAACTCTGTCCTTGCAGCTTGAAAGCAGCCACAGAAATTATGTAAACATATGGGTGTACATGTATTACAATAAAACTTTATTTACAAAAGTAAGTGGAGGCTGGGTTGGTGCAACGGCAACAGTATGCTGACCCAGTTCTGGAACCTCCCTCGACCATTCTTCCACGAAAATCTTAACTCCTTCCCCAACTTCCCCCTTGTTAAACAATGCTTTCATTTTACTTGAATAAAATTATAAAAAGAAAACACTGACCTCTTCCAGATGTTTGGTCTTTTGCAGAATCTGCTTGTTCAAGGAAATGACTTTCCGACGATGTAGTTGGGAAGTTCCTAATTTTTCTGGACTTTCTTCAGCTGCTAGCTCAGATTGCTGTGGAAAACACGGAGGGCAAATCCAAAGGATTTAATTAGTCCACCTTGGTTCATGTAAGACAGCTCCATTCCTGCTTGGTCTGGGCAGAGATCCGCAGGCTCCTGTGCAAATCCCACATCCCAAGAAGATGATTCTGGCAAAATGATCAAAATTCCTATCAACAGAACCTGCACTCCTGGCAGAATGAACAGAATGTACAGAAGCACAGGAGTAGATAACTGTGGTTATGTTGATAGCTCATAGGCAATAGGGTATCACCAAAGGGTCTTAAATAGAGGAATTACATGGGCACATTAACATCTTCATAAGAACATTCAAGAATGATGAAATGACTCACTTTCATCAAAGTATCATAAGCATCTGGTTAAAAAATTTAACCATTCAGAAACACTCCCAATGAAAAGCAACTGTCTCCTGACTTATTTCTCCCCTTCCATGGGCTCTTTTAACCATTTTTAAATTTTTCTTCTTCTGACGTTCACAGAGCATAGATTTGAGAGGAAAAAAAGTTACTGAGAGAGGCCAGTAGGAAATTCCTGGAATTATATAGGTGAGGAGGGGATGGAGAAGAAAAGTTGGACAGGACATAGAGACTGTCAAGACTGGAAGTAAGGAAGATATTTCTGGACTGGGTGATGAAGTGAATGTAGCAACATTACTGAGAAACCATGCAAAGACGGAAGCACTTGGTGTAGGTACTGAATCCAAACATGCCTTAGGACCCCAGTAAGAAGCCCCAGGAAAAATAAGTAAGAAGGTTGACTCTGATGCAATAGGTGTCTTTAGAACACTTCTTGGATGATCCTATTTTTATTAAACAGTGAAATGCTCATTATAACCACATTTCCTTTTTTTACTAGAAGTACCCCAATACCAAGTGAATCACAGATTTTTAAGCCCAAGTGCAACAAAGTTATTTGGGTATTTTATTTTCCTTGTATGTTTGAACAGTGATCACGGACTTGAAAAGTTTGGGGTTTACCCATGGGGAACAGAGATGAGAAAGTGAGTGGGAGGAGAAATTAGATGGTAAGTCACCCTTTATTCTGGCTAATGATTTACCTGAAGAATTCTGCAGCATTATTAACAGATGAGTTTTTGCTGCTTTACAATTCTGGGGGTGGGAAGCAACCGGCAGGATATTGTAGCATAAAACCGTGAAGAGAGCCAGCCGAGTGGCTCAGTTGGTTAAGAGCTTGCATAAGAGTTGGAGCCCTGAGCAACAAGGTCGCCGGTTCGATTCCCACATGGGCCAGTGAGCTGCGTCCGAGGTGAGCTGCCACTGAGCTACCAAGGATGGCTCAGTTGGTGAGAGCATGTGCTCCTAACAACAAGGTTGCCTGTTCGAGATGGTGGCTATGCCCACCAGCAACTAAAGACTGAACTCGGCACCTTGAGCAGAGCTGCCGCCCAGGTGGCTCAGGGGAAAGAGTGCGTGCTCTTAACAAGGCTGCTGGTTCGACTCCTGCATGGGATGGTGGCTACACCCACCTGCAACTAATTGAACACAGCACCCTGAGCTGAGCGGTGCGACTGGACTTGGAGCTGAGCTTGCTGTGCCCTCCACAACTAAGACTGAAGAACAACTTGGCTATTCTCCAATAAAACTCCCCAAATTCCCCAATAAAACAAAACAAAACAAAACCGTAAAGAAAATCATTTTCTATCTTGTGGGATGGTAGGCCATAAAAGAAATAGAAAAACTAAGCATTTGGTTTTACAACATTCTAGCCTTGTTTGGAAAATGTCAACTAACATACTGCAGCTTATCTGGGTTTCTGGGAATCAGAGTTAACTTTTATTTTATTATTATTTTTTTCAGATTTTATTGGGAAATTGGGTGAGGGGAACAGCGTTGGGGAATCGGGGGAGGGGAACAGACAAGTTGCTGTCCTTTTGCTCTTCAGTCTAGTTGTGGAGGACGGCGCTTCACTGGCCCATGTTGGTATTATCATTGCGCTCTTCCTGGGTGAGGCAGTCGCTCGCTGGCCATTG